AAGTCTGGAGGCAGCTTTGCTACTTATATCTCTTGGGGCCACGTTCTGTTGTCTTCCGTCCTACTGGTTTGCTATTTTAGTGTTAGAGTCAACGACATACCCGGGCTGTTGTAGATTTTCTTTGTCAGATTATGGTTTAAAAATCAATGTTTTAATTTGAATTCTTAAAGCAGTTTTTGTACGGTCAAATTCGACTCATTCGTTTGTTGTAACAGCCTTTCTGTTGAAGGTTTCTACAGATCCTGCCGCGTACGGTGAATGAATGAGCTTACCAAAGCCATCGCCACTATAGGGCTGGAGTTATTTCTGAAGAAATGCTAACTTGGAAATGGCTCTATTACCGAAGTAAAGAAAATCTGGGATACTAGTCGCAGAGTTCTGTCACCGACACAATGATTAGACACGTTGGATTTTAAAGTTTACATGCCCTTGCACGATCTTCATCATCTTCAGCTCTTTTTCTTTAAGTATTTTTCCTTCGGCCGTCGTACTAGTGTCTGCGTGGCATGAAATATTGTGCTAATTCACCATCACAACAAGAGACATTTCGTTGCTCATAGATTCGGACCGACATCATTGGTCGTGCTCTTTGTCGACATGATGCACTGAAAAGTCGAGTTGAAAAGTATCGCCGGAAACTGAGGGATATTGGGCCATAACTCTTCGTGGAGCCACTTGTCCAAAGCGGAACTCCAATTAACCAAATAGGCGGTAAAAATTAGAACCTCGGGATTTCATTCCTTCCTTTTTTCTTTCATCGTCTGCTTCTCCTTCCTGCTTTTATACTTCCTGGATTAACTTTAAACTCTTTTCAAACTGCGCTATGTAACTCCTAGGTACGTTTTATAAATGCTTTTTGTTTAAAAATTATGCGAGATTATAGCTGAGTATTTTATTTGATTAAATAATATTTCGAAAATCTTTCTGAAATTGTTTTTTATTAAAAAATACGTACGAATTTATCAAGTCGCCTTATATTTATTCAGGTTGAGTATTTTTTTTTCCCCTAGATAAAGTTGACTGTTTTTCCGGCTTGTTTATGTAGCAAATTCAGTGTAAAGGTCTTGACTGATACTTCAGGGGGCATTTTTTGCCTCTTTCTATCCATCATTCGCCTACATGTATTTTGTAGGAACACTCTTCGGTGCGTTTTAGGTCCATATCAATCGCTTTTCGCGAGGAATTGCTTCTCCTTTTATTGCTACCTATTTTTTCCTTTAGATATCAGATTTTCCACTCACCGTATAAGCAGTTCTCTTAATGGCATATTGTGAAGTTATTTTGATTTGATCGTGGTTTATTAATGGCCGTGATTTATAACTTGGGATTGGAATAATTTTGAAATTCGACTTGGTTCTTAGCAGCCCTTTCCTTGAGGAGTAGATGTGGATTCAGCCATCGGATGTAGGTGCCTTTCTCTCATAAAATTTTCGTGAAAGGAAGAGCCTTTGCAAGATCTTATGAGACATTTTAGCCATACGAAAAAGTCGCCTGCAAGACCATCACCTGTAGCCATTTTAAATGCGCTTTTCCTAATGCAGCACCACTGCCGAAACTGCGGTCTCATTTTCTGCCAGGAGTGCTCCGCCTTCAAGATGTCCCTTCCCAGCTCTTCCAAGCCGGTACGTGTCTGCGAAACCTGTCACAATCAACTGATGCAGCGCTACTCGGCTCGGTGATAGTTCTACATCTCCTCTTTTTGTTCTTCCAAATTTATGGGATGTTTTTACGTACCCACTAAGTAACTGTACTACAATCGTTCAAACTTTTGGTCGTTTATTATAATCAGGGCAGATGTAGAAGGTTATTGGATAATCTCTAGTATTTTAATAAATTTTCTTGTCATTCCCTTCAAAGCAGTTTTTTCACTGAAAAGACGTTCTTGTGAGAAGATGGTACAAATTGAGCTGATTTCTCTAAGATTCATGTGAATAACAACCCTTACAACTAAAGTTCGTAAGGGTTTTAACCGAGAAATAAATGTGGTTTGCCCCAAAGCTTCGGGCAATGACGAATCAGATTTTTTAGTCAAAGAGACGAGAAGAAACGGGTTGAAGTTGTGTTTACAGGCATTAAGTTTCCACGAAGCAGGAATTTCAGTAATGTTTTGGTCTGCTACAAGCCGCGGTAGCCATGGGCACCGATCAGGCAAATAAAATTGTCAGGACTGAAGAGTTCGCGCACTTAAACGTGCGGATACGAAGAAGGAGAAAAAAGTGGTTATTTTACAGATAAAAAGTTTTTCCCTCTTACCAGTCTATTGAGGTAACTCGCCAGTCGTATTAAGGCTGGTTTATTGTACTTTTTATGGCAAAAAAATATTTTTATTGCCTCCCTCTCGAGCTTCAAGTAGATGGCCTTAGTAGTAAAGGCAAGCAGGTACAACCTTTTGGGGTTAATTAAGGAATAATTTTTTTGGAGGGAATTTTGCCACTTCTAAATATAGCAGAAAAGTCGACAGTAGTTCTGTGGTAGGACTGTGGTCGACTCATTGGGTTGCCCAAAAACGAGTAACCATATACATCTTTTTAAAGGTTTTCTAAGGAGTTTTTATGTAGTTTTTATGTACATAACGAATTTTAACACTCGCCTATACCCAAGCTTCCAACTCAGGAATGATCTGGCTTGAATCCTTGCCAGGAAATGTACTGTTTTGTAAATGTCCCACTTACAGTTGTGAGTGTAACAAGCCACAGTGGTGTGGAAGGGCGTACTTACTCACCGGGCTGTTTGTACAGTCCAAAGGTCATACCACAGAGGAGTAGTACAACCTGCGGAGACTCAAAGTGCTCGCGTAGTTGAACACACAGGTTGAAAAAACACCAAATCACTGTAGAGCTTCTTCTCCCTTTTGAACATCTTCCAAGCGTTCTCCTCGGTCAACCTTCCGCGTCGATCATCGCACCGTGTTCGGTGGTGGACCGTGCGGACCAGAATTTTCTTGCGTGTGAGAAGGTATTTGATCCAAACGTCACTGACCTAGGAGGCCGCTAGCACAGTCCGGAGGCTATGTCACAGAATGGAAGTACAAATGTGGAGGCTCAAGTTGGATGAGAATCTAATTTGAAAGTCACCTAAGTAAGTTCATTTGACATAATTTATAAAGTGGGCGAATGTACGATGTGATAAGGCATACCTGCATGAATCGGCTGTGATGGCGGCCGATCTGAAAACACTGTGAAGTTGTCCACTTTTTCCGTCAATCTGCACTACAGTACTACCTTCATATTGTTTAAAATTGATAAAACCGCAGAAGCACTTTAGGCAACATGCATATTTCGCGTACCTGAAATAAACAAAATCGCAGGAGGGTATAAAACTTGTGAATAAAGGAGGTGTACCATGTCCTTGCAAGAATGTGGAATTCTACCCTAACGTAATATACTGTTGTGCTTTCTCATCTCTTGATTTTGTTTACGCAGTTGTGTGGTCCGGAACTGGAGTACCACAAATCATTCCTGTAGAAACGAAGAGGACTTACCACTGCAATCGGCATTCACCTTTAGCTGAAACTTTAGTCCCACACGTGTGAAAAGTGAGGGGGTTGCAAGTGTGTCCTCTTTCTACTCGTAATTCTTGGCGCCCATGTTGTGCACTAGTCCAGATAGTGGCGACGATAACACTTGGATGGACTAGCGTTGGGTGACAGGTTTATGTAAAATCGGCAACAGTTAAGCATTTTAATGGCGTTAAACGTTTCACGGGTGGCCGTACATCTGTACATCAGAGGTGATGACATTCCACAAGGCCCAAGAATGGATTGCCTATCGTAGAAGGCATGAGTCTTCCCACAGCGACACAACCACTAACGAGCGTTTGAAATCTCGAGGAGTTTGCACAGGTTGGGCGTCAAATCAGCTTTCCTTCTTGGGGCTACACAAGAGAAGCGAATACCTTAACAATTATGAAGAGTCTTTTTACATGATAGTCAGAAGGCTAGAGGCACGGCTGGAATACTAGGCCACCAAGATGGTGACAGGGCCGCGAACACTATCGAAGAAGATTGTTGAGTTAATTAATTCTCCCATAAATGACTTACGCTTTTTGCTCATTAGATATCAACCGATATAAGCTTAGAATTTTTAGAATCGGAGTTCAATAGCTGTCATTGTAAATAATGC